TCCCGGGGGGGGGGGGAGAGGGGTGGCTATGTGCCCGTTCTCTCTCTGTGACGTAAACCGTGCAGTCCTGGGCAGATTTTTGTACCCTCCTCGCTCTGCTTGGGACAGCAGCGACAGAACTATTTTGTTGTCAAAGGCTTTCACGGCCGGAGTTCATTAGCTGTTGTAGATTTTCCAGGTTGCCTGGCCGTGGTCTTGGCCAATCCACATGCAAAAGAACCTTCTCAGGAAACAGGAAGCCTTCTCAGGAAACAATCCATATGCAAAAGAACCTCCTTAGGAAAGCTCCACCATTAGCATGTTCACAGCCTGGGGAACTCCTACAAGATAATGACTCTGCCCTAACCCACCTTCCCGAGTAGATATAAATTACCTGCCTACCATTTTTTTCTCACCTTGACACAGAGAGTACTCCGTCTTCCTGTGTTATACCTCTGAGGATGCCAGTCACAGTTCCTGGCGAAACGTCAAGTACTACAATGCCAAGACCATGGCCATACAGCCTGGAAAATCTACAACAGCTAAAGAACTATTTTGCTTTGTTCGGGACCTATCTCTAGGAACTGAAACTCTTCTTTCCCTTTTCTGTTCTGTTTCTCTAGAACCCTGTTGTTTTCAACTTGTTGGTGCAAATGTGCCTAATTGTGCCCTCTGGGTTGGGAGGGAGGGCCAGTTTGGTGTAGTGGTTAAGTGCACAGACTCTAATCTGGGAGAACCGGGTTTGATTCCCCACTCCTCCTCCACATGCAGCTGCTGGATGACCTTGGGCAAGTCATAGCTCTGTCAGAGCTGTTCTCTCAAGGACAGTCCTGGAAAGAGCTCTCTCAGCCCCACCTACCTCCCAGGGGGTGTCTGTTGTGGGGAGGGGGAGGGAAAGGAATTAGTCAGCCGCTCTGAGACTCCCGAGTGAAGGGCGGGGTATAAATCCAATCTCTTCTCTCTTCTTCCTCTACTCAGGAACTGCCTTTCCTTTCACAGATCCCACCGGCCGGGCAGCTCCCGAGGCCTCCACGGGCATCCCAGTTGGCTCCTGTCCCGAGACGGGCGCTGCCAAAACTCCGTCGGTCACCTTCAGTCTTGAGCCCGAGGTGTTTGGCCGAGAAGGCCCCTTGCCTGAGCACTCGGGCTCCAAACGTACCGATGAGGAGCACGAAAGGATTGTTGTCGGGACCGCGCAGCCGGTTCCAGGGGGGAAACTGAGCCGCCTCTCCAGAAGCAGGAGGGGGCGGCCGAGTGTGGCTTCGGAGGAGAGGAGGGATGTTGCACGCGATGGAGACCCGCCGGGGCACGAAGGGGCCAGCCGGGAGGGCCCTCAGTCCCCAGTCTTCACCGGACACAGCAGCAGTTTGAAGCTTGAGCCAAGCCTCCCAGAGACACCTTCCGTGACCACAGCAGAACGAGAAGGCAACCCAGGGCCCCCTCTGACACCGCCGCTAGAACATGGTCAGGGACTGCTTGGGGAGAACGTCCCTCCCGGAGTCCTCGGCCCATCTCCCAGCTACCTCTTGGAGGAGGGGGCCTCGGCCCTCCCCGAAGGCTCAGCGGTCGAGGGCGCCATTTTGCTTCCTGACGCTCAGAATGTCTCAACAGAAGAAGAGAGGGGCCAGGAGGATAAGGAAGATCTGGGGGGAACTGCCCCCCAGGCAAGCGGAAGTGGAACACCCCAAGAGAGAAGCCCGCTGGGAGAGCCACGGAGCTCCGGACACTGTAGCAGGGACTCTCCCGCCATCGAGCCAGGACGGGCGGGTGCAGGGTGCGAGGCAGGGGCTGTGTCTCCCCACCGGGAGGAGGGGGCCTCTCCTGCCGCCCCGGCCGACAGCCTGCGGGACTCCTGCACGGTCATCGAGGGACTCCTCTTCCCGGTGGAGTATTACGTGAGGACCACCCGCAGGATGTCCCGTTGCCAGCGGGAGCCGAACCTGGACGCTGTCATCCAGAGCCAGCTGGGCCCGAGGAGGAGGAGGAGCCAGAGGGCCTCCCCGAAGGAGAGAGTGGCGAGTTCGGCCCCACCCCCCCGGGGGCTGCCCGCAAGCTCTCCCGCTGCGAGCCAGGAAAGCGGGAGCGGGTCCCCTCTGGCGCCCAAGGAGCAGGGTGAAGGGGTGCCTCCGAGTGGGGGTCCCACACGGCGGAGCAGAAGGGGGAGGCGGAAGGGGAGAGGGCGGCCTGGGCGCAGGCCTCCAAGCCGTGGGGCACGGGGGCCGTTGGCGTCAGCGGGTCCCGAAGGAAACGGCGGTCTCACAGCAAGCGGGACGTGTCGCTCTGAGCCTCGAGAGCCAGCTGGAAACCAGGGGGGCCATGCCTGGGTGGAGCCGGCCCAAAGGGGCATGGTGTCCTTGCGGCCAAGGGAGTCCCCAAGCGCCTGTCCGGAACGCCAGGCGGGAAGAGCACCCCCACCAGGTTTGTGGTTCCGAAACTCCGTGGTGTTTCTGGGGGCGAGGCTTGCGCCTGCGTTTCCCAGAGCTTAGAAGAGGCATTTCTGGCAGGGAGGGGGGGTGTCATGGTCCCCGAGAGCGGTTCAGAGGGG